CTATTTCTGAGGACTCTGTTCTGTTCCATTGGTCTATATCTCTGTTTTGGTACCAGTACCATGCTGTTTTAGTTACTGTAGCCCTGTAGTATAGTTTGAAGTCAGGTAGTGTGATGCCTCCAGCTTTGTTCTTTTGACTTAGGATTGTCTCGGCAATGCGGGCTCTTTTTTGGTTCCATATGAACTTTAAAGCAGCTTTTTCCAATTCTGTGAAGAAACTCATTGGTAGCTTGATGGGGATGGCGTTGAATCTATAAATAACCTTGGGCAGTATGGCCATTTTCACGATATTGATTCTTCCTATCCATGTGCATGGTATGTTCTTCCATTTGTTTGTGTCCTCTTTTATTTCACTGAGCAGTGGTTTGTAGTTCTCCTTGAAGGGATCCTTTACATCCCTTGTAAGTTGGATTCCTAGGTATTTTATTCTCTTGGAAGCAATTGTGAATGGGAGTTCATTCATGATTTGGCTCTCTGTTTGTCTGTTACTGGTGTATAAGAATGCTTGTGATTTTTGCACATTAATGTTGTATCCTGAGACTTTGCTGAAGTTGCTTATCAGCTTAAAGAGATTCTGGGCTGAGACAATGGGGTTTTCTAAATATACAATCATGTCATCTGCAAACAGGGACAATTTGACTTCTTTTCCTAACTGAATACCCTAGGTAATACCATTCAGAACATAGGCATGGGCAAAGACTTCATGTCTAAAACACCAAAAGCAATGGCAACAAAATCCAAAATTGACAAATGGGATCTAATTAAACTAAAGAGCTTCTGCACAGCAAAAGAAACTACCACCATCAGAGTGAACAGGCAACCTACAGAATGGGAGAAAATTTTTGCAATCTACTCATCTGACAAAGGGCTAATATCCACAACCTACAAAGAACTCAAACAAATTTACAAGAAATAAACAAACAACCCCATGAAAAAGTGGGCAAAGGATATGAACAGACATTTCTCAAAAGAAGACATACATACAGCCAACAGACACATGAAAAAATGCTTCTCATCACTGGCCATCAGAGAAATGCAAATCAAAATCACGATGAGATACCATCTCACACTAGTTAGAATGGCAATCATTAAAAACTCAGGAAACAACAGGTGCTGGAGAGGATGTGGAGAAATAGGAACACTTTTACATTGTTGGTGGGACTGTAAACTAGTTCAACCATTATGGAAAACAGTATGGTGATTCCTCAAGGATCTAGAACTAGAATTACCATATGACCCAGCCATCCCATTACTGGGTATATACCCAAAGGATTATAAATCATGCTGCTATAAAGACACATGCACACATATGTTCATTGCAGCACTATTCACAATAGCAAAGACTTGGAATCAACCCAAATGTCCATCAGTGACCGACTGGATTAAGAAAATGTGGCACATATACACCATGGAATACAATGCAACCATAAAAAAGGATGAGTTTGTGTCCTTTGTAGGGACATGGATGCAGCTGGAAACCATCATTCTCAGCAAACTATCACAAGATCAGAAAACCAAACACCACATGTTCTCACTCATGGGTGGGAATTGAATAGTGAGATTACTTGGATTCTGGAAGGGGAGCATCACACACCGGGGCCTATTATGGGGAGGGGGGAGGGGGGAGGGATTGCATTGGGAGTTATACCTGATGTAAATGACAAGTTGATGGGTGCTGATGAGTTGATGGGTGCAGCACAGCAACATGGCACAAGTATACATATGTAACAAACCTGCACGTTATGCACATGTACCCTAGAACTTAAAGTATAATAATAAAAAAAAACATAATTTATTAGCTAGAAAAGAAAAAAACTCAGATGTTCTTTATTTACCAATAATAATAAATACAGAAAATTGATGAAACAAATTTCACAATAATATAAAGACTTTTCAATTATTCCTTCAAAATACTGTCTTTTGTTTTTTTCCTTTTCTGGGTAATAAATTATATTAAACTTTTTACTGCATCAGGATTTGCCCTTAAATCTACACTTACACATTTGGCAATGATTTGATGGTGTTATTTTTGTTTGTTTTATAATTCTTGTTACAGCTAATCACATATATAATTTCCTCACCCAAAATTTATGTTTAAATGAACTCTGGTTTCTTAAACTTCTGAATTCTGTGTGAATTGAATCAGTCTTCATGTTCTGTCTCATTTGGTACACATATAGTCAAGGAGCCATTGTTTCCATTCACAAGCCCTGAACTTACTATTTGGACAAGATACCTGCTTTCAATAATTATATTAGGATCAACAGAAAAGCATGTCCTTTCTGTAAATACATATGAAGAATTACTTTGCCCCACAGTTTAATATACAATTCTCCTGATTTTTACAAAAATATTTTGAATAATCTAATATAGTTTTAAGAATTCACTTCTAAACTTCAGAAAAATTCCTTTTTTCTTTGTTTGTGAAAATTTTCCTTTCAAAAATGTAGCTATTGAGTGCTAGAATATTGCTTCTAAATTTACTGTGCCAAAGGCCCGTGATAATTTTTCTTATACATTTAATGACATTCTAAACTTTGATAATATAAACTTTTTTCTCTGTGCAAATACGTGTATTTTCATTAAGTATACAGATGTTTATGTGAATATCAACATTTGTGCCTACAGGCAGAAAAAGCATTTTATATGTCTACTGGACACTATCTTAATATGTGAAAATAGTTTCAAATTGTTCTATTAAAAAGTGTTCAGCTAAAATATTTTCAAGTTTTAAAGCAATGAACTTTTTTCTTCTGATTTAACATTTTTGAAGGTTGAATAATAGACTGCTGTAATGAAAATATAACACTTCATGTGAAATTTCAATAATCTCTTATAGTAATATCCATAGACATCAATGAATGTGCCTATAAATCCTATTTGTGATGTTATTAGACCCAAATGTAAAATATAACATGCCTTGTAATAAGTAATATAGAATTCTCAACCATATTTTAGCCAAGCTTTGGGATAAACTAATATGAAAACTATTTATGTAAATTGATCAACTAAAGCATTTCCTCTGTAGACTTTCTGTTTTTAATACGAATGCTCTGGGTTTCCTAAGTGAAAGTTTTTATCAGTTTGAAACCAATGTAACTCTATTGATGCTAATTTGACCACCTTGGTTTTCTGTACTAGACTGCAAGTTCTACATTAGTTCATAAAGCTTAAAAGATTTTCAAGCTGTATGTAGTACCTTGGAAATAGTAAGTGGTTCAATTTTTAGTTAGTAAGTAAATAAATGAAACAAATGAAAGCAGCTTTTCATAACACAGTTTCGTGCTTTTAGCACTTTTTAGAGCCTCCTTCTTCATTTTAAGTGTCATCTCATCTGATAAATTTTCTTTATTCAATGCTAGGATAAGGGAGGGGACTCTCTTATGTGTAATGTTAGCCCTTGGCATACAAACCTCTATCAAAACACTTGTCACCCTGTAGTTTCACAGTGTCAGTGTGTGCACCCACACCTGTAGCCTCATGGGAGGCAAGGACTGTGTCTGCCAGAGAAGCTATGGCACATAAGAGTTGATCAAAATTCAAGAAGATTGGAAGGCAGTTAATTCTAGCTGTGATGCATTGGTCAACCTATCTTCCTGTGTACAGATCATAGACACATACTGTTCACCATTTTTACAAACTTACTTTTTGGAATTTTAGAATATATGAATACATCACTCTTTGTATTCATATATTCTAAAATCACTTCATTTCCCACTGTTGAAACTGCGTGTCTGCTATTGTAGTTGTTTCATGTGACCATTTTGGTTTTTAGCTTCCTTTTCTTTAAAATCCTTCCTCAAGTTTATATCTCTTTATATATTGCATTTTATGTATTTATTACCTCTTCTCATATTCCCGTTTTATTACAAATTTGTTTAGTTCCTTGTCTCTCCAAATTTTTCCCTCTGTGTGTTTCATTGTGCTTTTCTATCTGTTCTCTTTTTTGTCCAGCTATGTCTCTGGGCCTTCAGTTTTACACTAAGATTAACCTCCCCACGTCTCAAGTGTCAGATGCCTTATCTTCAATCTTTGAAGTCCTTTACAACTGACTCTCCAGCAATGCAGCTTCTCAACTCACTGCCCTTTGAACACAAAGCAGACACAACTGACCAGGTAGTGGTAGGATACTTCCCTGAGTGGCCGCAAATTTGCGAGTCAGTCAGCTGTGGTAAAAGGGACAGTCTGTAGCTGCAAAACAGAGTGAAACGAACTAGCCATAAAAGGAGATCAAACCCATGGCCTTGGCAATGGTTGTTAAAGCACTAATTATTAACAACTCAGTGAGACAGTCACCAATACGCCCATCATATTAACTAGATGACAAATTCAGGATACATTTTTTAGTTATATAAACACTTTCATCTAATGAATTAATGTGAGAGGCAAATTATTACCATAGCTAATCACAATTTATAGAACTAAACCATGTTTAAAAGAATACCTACACTATGATGACCACAAAGTAAATAGATTAGGTGTATTTCTTTTAGAAGTATAGTATATTTTTGCAATGACTATTGGGTACATATGCTTCTTGGTATCAATGTTACATATCACTGAAAAGTTGTTATTATTTCAAATATAGAAATTGAATATTAGACATATCTTGGTAAAAGGTTATTGCAATTTAAATGAATTACTCATAATGTTCAAGGGTGGTTCGGATAAATCAATTCGCATTTATAATAACTTACACTACTGAAGTTATTGTAAAGGGTATAAACTGTGTAGGGTCAAGTCTTCATTCTCACAAAGTTTATATTCTTGCTGTGGAGACAGACATATGCAGGTACAGAGACAAGTCAGGAAGGTAAGAACCACGTGAGTGGGGCAGCTGGCATGTTTCAGTGAAGGGGATGTTGTATCAGGCTGGAGTGATTTCATCAGTGAGGTTTTCACCATGTATGTGGGAACTGAACTGAGTTTTATAAGATGCGTACGATGATACTCACATATTTGCTTCCTGAGGCTGCTATAACAAATTACCACAAACTGTGTAGTTTAGAACAACGAAAATTTATCATCTCACAGTTTCTGAGGCCAGTAGTCTGAAAAAAAAATATGTGGGCATGATTGGTCCCTTCTGGAGGATCTAAGTGAAAAACTGTTCCATGCTTTTATCCTAGCTTGGTTGCTGGCCATCCTTGGTGTTCCTTGGTTTATAGATGCATCCCTCCAGTCTCTGCCTCCATCTTCATGTTGCCTTCTTCTCTGTGTCTCTCTGCATCTTCTCCTCTTCTTAGAAGTGAATTGATGTAGGGCTACTGTAAATCCAGGACAATTTCATCTCAAGATTCTTAACTAATTATATATGCAAAGACCATATTTTCAAATAAGGTCACATTCTGAAGTTCAGCATAGACATGAGGGGTGTGTGTGTGTGTGTGTGTGTGTGTGTGTGTCCAGGGGTTGGGGGGTACATTATTCAACCCATTGCAAATGGGTCTGTTAATGCACATCTAAGCAGAGGACTCTGATTAAATTCCTTCAAGGGCTGGGTAGGGAACGTTAATATGAATAGTATGTTGTTAGCAAGATCATCCTAAAAAATATAGAAATTCAAAAAATAATTAAACCATAGCTTGCCAGACAATACATCTTTGTAAGAAAAACTCATCCAGAAGATTCCCAGTGTATATCTTCCAATAAACAACAAGAACACTAAAAACAGCTATTAAATTTTTAGTGTTTACTCATGTTCCAGGCACTGTTTTAAGTGTTTTACATATATTATATGTTAAAATTTCACCAAAACCCAAAAATGAGGGTATTATCACATTCAGTTTATGGGTAAAGATACTGAGCCTCAGAGTTGTGAAACCACTTATTCCCACTGATGTATCTGGTAAGTGATGTGGCTGGACTTCAAACCCCAAAAAATTGTTTTGAGGAGGTCACGGGCAATTTCAAACTATATTGATACCACACTTTTAGGAAGGGATACAGCTGGAAGAAAAAGTGGGGAAACCTTTGGAAGTTGAGGACAGCCAGGTAAGGAAACCTGGTCTCTGTCCTGTAAGGGATGGGAGTCACTGAAGTTTTTGAGATGTATAACATTGTGAAAACACAGAGTTTGTAAAATTGCGCCATTGGCTAGTGTTCAGAAAATATTGAAGAATGTGGATTTGACGCTTCTTCGGTAAAAAGCCTTTGCAACAAATAGTCAAGGGGTGATAAGGGCCTGCACTGGGGTGGTGGCAATTATGACGCATTTTCAACATGTGCTAGAGGGATTAATCTTGGCTGTTTAGACACCTTTCTCTCCCTCTTTCTGCCTTTCAAAGAATGCAAAGGGTCTCCCTAAGCAATTAAGAAAAAGTTTAAAACATCATCACCAAACACTTGCATGTTTTATTCTGTAGAAAATTTTACTTCCTTAAAAGTTTCACCTTTTGTCCTCTAGGTTGAAACAATGCAATTCTCCTGTTCCCACCCAAAGGATTTAGCTATAATACACTATCAACAAAATCATGAGTGATCCCTTCCCATATAATTATAGGGTGTGCCATAGTGCAGATGTCTCCATGTAAAGTAGGAGTAGCCTGCAATTAGCCAGAAGAATTCTGCAGCAAATGTGGTTAGAGGCAAAAGGTTTACTCTAAATTTGACAGCCCCAGCTATAAATAGTTTGTTGGCTTTTTTATTTTTTGCCTTTATCAAGGACATCTTTGCTTCATCTGAGCACTTTCTGCAAAATAACCTTGCAGCTATGAATGCCATATGCAAAAGCTGTTTTTGCTTTGGATTGGCTTCTCCCTACTTAAGATGGTCTGAATAATCCATTACGAAAATCTCTCTGCATTTTCTCTGCATCTGGAAGATATGCATATAAATTTATAATGCTTATGTGAGGCATAAGTCAGTGGTTAATCCATCTGATCGTAAATCATGGGATTGTGTACCATGACCACATTAAAACTGAACCACAAATAAAAAGGGAGAATGGGTTCTAACCTATAATTGTGGCTCTCAGAATCAAGACCCTCAAAAGAATGTAGTCCTGAATGTGTCACATATAAGAGATGCTTGAAAAATCACACTAGTTAATGCGTAACATGTGCAGCACATGGAATAACAGGTTAGTAGTTTTCGAAATGCTTATTTTATGAAAAGATAGAAAAGATCACTATATACTCAATACAAAGGCACTGTGACTCACCATGTAACTGAAATCAAAGACCTCCACTTCACAAAATTCAATACATTCCCCTTAGGTCAGAATTAAGAATGTATTTGGGGGCATTTTGGAACCTATATTTGAATTCAAATTAAGTTCAACATTTCTTTGTGAAATTAGGGTGCTAATTGGTAGAGAAATAATATACAAATCAACATCACAGCACTATGTTTAGTATTTCAGGCTAAGCTAATATTTCTACCATTTTGCATGTAAATCTTCTCAAAAAGTTTGTCTAGGGTAGCAGCATGTTATGAGGGCAGATTCTTTCTTCAAATGGAATTCTGATTAGTAACCGAAATAACTGAATAAATATGGTTTTGTCAAAGTGGTCAACATATTCATTTTAGAAATTAGCAGTCAAATTAATTGGTTTAACTTGATAGTTCACTATTTCAGTATCAGAATGAAAAATTGAAATGTAACTATATGAAATTTTGAATATTTACAAATACAATTTTTAACTATGTTTAACTTTTTAAGCTTCTGTACCATAAAATAAAATGCTTAATTTCCCCCTTTAAAAAAAAATTAAAAAACTCTTCACTAATAGTGTTTAAATTGCTCACATGATATGGACAGTTTCTTTTCTTGGTTTTCTCTGTTTGTAGCAACTGCATGTAGAGTTACTTTAAGAATTTTAGAAATAAAACAGTGCAACCAATGATGTCCCCTTACCTCCTCCCTGCCCTTCAATTATGACATAGCTTGAAATGGGTTATGATGATTTTACTTTACATCACACATTATTAACAGAAATACTTTAGCATGTAAATTTGGAAATGTCTGAAAAATGTCATCAGTTGGAGGAATATAGTAAGCCACTATCCGATTTTTTGTATAAATGCATTTTATTATATTTATTCAATGTGAAAGCACTTTTTAAACCAGTTAGAGTAAAACGACAGCATCTTTTCAGGATAGTGGGCCATGACCTAGGGTTGAAAGGTACCAGAAACCTTTATTAAAGATCAGCTTTTAAGAATATATTTTTCTACCATAGTATATTTATTAAAAGTTGATACATTTTACATATTTGCATTCGAGTCCTTGAGTTTTCTAAAGCATTAAATAAATGTCTCTGAATAGTTTCTGACCTTTCTCTGGTACCTTTTTGTGATAAAGGAATATAATCTAAAACATGTTTGGTATGGCATAGTGAAATATCTGTTAATTCCTTCACTGCTGGCAGATGAGTAGATTAATTTTTATCACAATGCATTCCGACATTGTGATTCATGAAATGGCTGTACATTTACAACATATATGTTTCATTTAAAAAATATTTTTATTTAAAATATTTGACTTTATCTGTAGGCAAAATGATGTGCCAAAGTGTACTGTATTTGTCACCCTTATTATACATTTCCTGAATAAGTTTTTACATTTGAATTTTTTCCTTAATAAGTTTCTATATTCAAAGAAAAAAATCATTTCTTTAACATGCAGATTTCTGTTGATTCCGGTACATAATTTGATTTCAAGAGAAGCAGTGCTTGGTGCAACTTTATATCTGTAAACCACCATGCTTCAACTGACATTCTTGACACTTCATGAATAAGTCCAAAGGTAATTCATTCTCATTTTCAAAGCATTCTTAATATAATCAGGTCTATACTTTTTCAATTATTAACAGAAAAACTAACATCTTTAAATGGTTAAAAATTTACAAGATGCATACTAGAGATGTCCTGGGATTTTCTACTATCTAACAGGATTTAGATTTTCTTAATTTCTTACCATCTAAGTAAAAAGGGGTATTGTGAGTAAACAGATACTGCGGCACCTCCGTCTACTTCAACGCCTTTGAGAAGGCTGCCACTTTCACCAGCAATGTCTAGCACCTCCTTGCTGACCCAGCAAATTCCAATTAATTTTTTAAGTCCCACCCTAATTATTCCACTTTCTGTTGTTTGTGTTGACATTTTGCAATAATAGGAATGAATTGTCTTTTCATTGAAATTGCAATGACACTGTAAATTGAATTCCATAAAGCAGGGATGTTTGCTGGTTTGTTTGTAATGTACTTCTAGTGATTTATCTCTCTCTAGAATAATAACTGGCTCATGGTAGAAGGTCAATAAATATTTGCTGAATGAATCTCTCATTGCAGATTTCTTAATTATAGAGTATTTCACATTATATTTCGGTTCTGTATTCGACTGTCAAGCTCTCCAAGTACACCTTCACAACTCCAGATCCTAGCTCAGACCCCGCCACACAGCAGGTTTTCATTAATTATCTAATGGCTCGATGTTTGGTAACATGAATTTAAAAAGCAAGCAAAGCATCTTTGTCTGAAATTGTAAACAGAGGTAGAATATGGAGAATTATGGATTAATCCCTTTAATAGGACTCCATGTCAAATGATAACATATATATTCTGCTTATCCATAAGTAGCACATAATTCTCCATTTTTAGTCATGAGATTAATCAGCATGAATATTTATTTACCTTATTTTTAAGAATACATAGAAAGAAGTGAGTTCACAATCTCTCTTAGTTGCTATTGAGTACATTATTGTTCTGTCATTTAAGATATCTTTCTTATAGCTAAGTCATTATTATTTTACACGTTATTAATTACTATAATCCTGACATAGTATAGTATGAAATCCCTGAGTGCAGAGATATTATTTCTTCATAGTTTTAAGACAGTGACTTTTTTATTTTAATATTTTAAATTTTTTTTGAGACAAGGCCTCTCGCTCTCTCAGCCAGGCTGGAGTGCAGTGGCACGATGTTGGCTCACTGCAGCCTCAACCTCCCAGGCTCAAATGAGCCTCCTGCCTCAACCTCCTGAGCTGCTGGGGCTACAGGTATGTACCACCAAGCTCAGTTATTTATTTTTATTTTTATTTTTTACTTTTTGTAGAGACGAGGGTCTCCCTATGTTGCCCATGCTAGTCTTGAACTCCTGGGCTCAAGCGATCCTCCTGTCTTGGCCTCCCAAAGTGCTGGAATTACAAGCATGAGCCACTGCACCCAGCCCAAGATTGTTATATTTATTTGTACTCCAAGAGTTTTAGTGTACTACTATGTTCTGAGTAGGTGTTCAAATTAATTGCTACTTCATTTGTTAAATATATTTGCTTCAATTTAAAATTATTTATTTTATGAATGAAAGCGATACAGTTCCTGCTTTGATAAAGCATTTAATTCAGTGGAAAAAAAATACCTATTTATTTCACTTTCCTCTGAAGTTTTGTGGTTCCTTTCTTTTAAAATATGTGTGATGACAAAAAGCTTACTCTGATAAGAGAGTTACAAAGAATACAGTAAAAATTTGTAGAAGTGATTTTTATCTCTCTCAATATTATAATAGATTTCATTCTCAAATTTTCTTTTAAATATAAAACCTAAATATTACTTCCTGATTTATGCTTGTGTTCTCAAAATAAAAATTTCAGTAAAGATAATGGACAGTTTAGTTTATTTTGCATCAATTTTATATTTATAAAATGGAAAGATAATATGCATTTAATGCCCATGATAACCACAAAGAAAATAGCTATAGAATATACACAAAAGGAAATCCCAAAGGAAATTAAATGATTCACTCCAAGAAATCAACTACACATAAAAGACAGTAATGCAAAAAATGAGGAACATAAAAACTATAAGGCATACAAAACACATAACAAAATGACACCAGTCTCTCCTCATCAGTAATTACTTTAAATGTAAATTGATTAAACTTTCCAGTCAAAAAGACAGAAATTAGCTGAACAGATAAAAATCCATGATGTAATTAATCCTATCTGTAAAACTCATTTTAGATCCAAAGACACAAATAGATTAAAAGTAATAAGATGGAAAGAGACATTTAATTCAAATTATAACCAAAAGAAAGGAGGGTAGCTATACAAATATCACATAAAACAGATTTTAAATTAAAAAGTTTATAAGAGATAAAGTTATTATATATTGAAAACAGGATCTCAAAGAAATATTTGTATACCCCTCTTTATAGCAGCATTATTCACAATAGATACAATGTAGAAGAAACTCAAGTGTCCATTGAAGGATGGATGGATAAGCAAAATGTAGTATAAACATGCAGTAGAATATTATTCAACCTTAAAAAGAAAGGAAATTCTGACATATGTTACAACATTAATGCACCTTGAGGACATCACACTACCTGAAACAAGCCAGTCACAAAATGACAAATATACCAGATGATTCCACTTATATAAGGTATTTAGAATAGTGAAATAATAGAGAGAAAGTAGAATGGTGGTTTTCAGGGGATAAGGGGAACAGGGAAATGTTGTTTAATGGGTACAATATTTCAATTTTACAAAATTAAATGAGTTATGAAGATGGATGGTGACGGTTGTACAACATTATGACTATATTTAATAGCACTTGCTATGTTCTGAATGTGTTCCCCAAAATTCACCTTGAAACAATCTCTAATGCAACAGTATTAAGAGATGGAGCCTTTAGGAGGTGCTTAGGTCATGAGAGCACCTCCACCTCCTTCTTGAATGGGATTACAACTTTTATAAAAGAGGCTTTACACAAAGTCAGTCCTTCTGATCTTCTTTTTTCCATCATGTGAGGACACAAGAAGGTCCTCACCAGATACTGAATGATCTTGGACGTCCCCCAGAACCTTAAGGTATACATTTCTGTTCTTCATAAATTACCAGTCTTGGTATTTTGTTATAACAGCACAAACTAAGACACCACTGAACTACACTCTGAAAAATAATTAAGATGGCAAATTGTATGTTATGTGTGCCTTACCACAATAAAAAATTGCAGAAAATATATATTAAAATATAATGTAGTATATTCTGTATATTAAATATAAAAATTAATTTTACTAGCTTTTATTCTTCTCTTTGAATATGGCTACTAGAAAGTTTAACATTGCATATGTAACTGTTGTCATGTTTCTATTGGAGGAAGCTGGTCTATAAGATAAATGTAAATTCCCCTTTCTCTAACTTTCACTTTCCTCTTCAACCTCTTAGCTGAGCTTTAGATATGCCTCTGATCTAGCTTATTATCCAGTTTGGTATACACCCTATGATCCAGGCTGTGAAGCTTTTGTACACAGATTTTGAAATACTTTAATCTCTTTGATAATAATTCTTTCAATTATTAATTTCCTCAACAAAATCCTAATAATGTTTCAAAATACATTTCAGTAGTTTTCTTTGTGAGATCTTCTCTGATTTATCCAGGCAGCATCGGCCACTTTGTTGATGATGTTTCCATACCTGTATGTATGTTAATAATTTCCCTTATTGCACTGTATTGCAATTATTGGTACACATCTAATTCCTATAAGAGGCTTTGAATTCTCTCACAAGCCTAGATCCACTTAAATGTTTGTAGAATAAAAAAAAAACATAAATGGAATTTGGAGTCAAACCAATTTGAATTATCTTCCCATCACTGATGAGATATGTGAATCTGAAAAATTTATTTAAACTCTAATATACAATTGATGAAGAATGTTGAGCCAAATCCTTATTTATTCTATTGCATGCTGTTTAACCCTACTTTTGAAAGTACGTCCTTTATATCAGCTTCCTTGACTTTTAACTTTTTGTCAGTAAAGTACAGCTGTTTCCAGGTTCTAACTTAATGTTAATGAGAGATTTCACTATAAAGGAGTTACTAAAATTAATACAAGTTAATAATGCAAGTGTCACAATATGGAATGCAATTTCTTACATGTTGTATTATTGATGGTGCAATTTTTAAAATGTATGAAATGTACCAAAATTAAATGGGCACTACTTGTTTATAATTCAGAAAAATCAAAGAGAAACACAAATACTCTTTTTCAAATTATACTTAGTGAAGAAGATAGAATGCAATGAAAAAGAGGCACGGTGAGACCTATTTCAAATATTGATAATTTTCCCAGAATTTCTTCTATATACTATAGGTTTAAAATATCAAAGACTTTTTGATGGCAAAAAGAATGGAGTGTATTTGGGAACTTCTAAGTTAGTGGAGGTAATATCTGAAGTGCTCATAGATGACAACTTATGAACTGACATCATAGTAGCTAATAATGAAAGCATGTTAAAGGCCTGTACTAAAGAACCCATAATTCTATGATTCTTTTAACAAGAAATATGATAGAATGAGAATATGAAGTGAAAAGCAGTAAGATAAATACCACAACTCAAAGCACCCACCCACTTCTAAAACAATGTATTTTGAGTAAAGCCAGGCCTCAAAATGGATAAGACTAAGTATTCTAAAACCTCTGTCCTATTGCATTCAAAATATATTTAAAACTAGTTGTTTACTCTCTCTATCCATCCTTGCAATCCTTGCAAATAGTCTTTCTTTTGTAAAATAAATCAAGTGTTTAAGAACGTTTTCAAATATTTTAATTAAAATGATAGGCAAAACAATTATATTTAGACAATTTTAAACTAATTCATTTTGAAAGTTTAAATCATGTTTTGAAAAGTAGAGTGTTTTGTTTCTTATGCTAATTGGTGACTTCCTGCTTCAACAGAGAATGGCTTTATAGAGACAAAACAACATGTTTCTCTGACATCAAAAAGTGCTTGCAAAACGCAGTTGTGCTGAATTAGCTGAAAATAAATAAAAAACATAAGGATTGCATTTCTACTGAACTTTACAGGAGCTTGAATGTGAGAAAGCAGACTGCATTGGGGAAAATAGGTTTTAAATTTTACTTAATCCTTCCTTGTGAAAGCTAGAGGTGCCTCTTTTTGCATGGAGATTTGCCTATTTCAAAGTGATCAACAGCTTATTTTGCTTTTCTTTATCTTTCTTTACAATTAATGCCCTTAACTGTACAGAATTTGAGGAGAATCTGCAAACACCATAGATAATAAGTGGAACATGATTGACTCACCTGTCATGATTTCCTCTACTAACCAACAGTCAGAAAAAACAGAATATTCCGATTTAATAATTCATAAAACGTATTTGATCAAATACTTTAAGATACAGCCTTTATTTTCTCTTATATATGTGAATTTAAGAAATAGCTTATCAACAACCTTATCAACAATTTTCCTAGTAATGATTGGCAATGCATTTTTCCCTTTTTTGAAGTTGCTCTTCCTAGGGTATTTCACTAAAATTTTCAGAGTAAGATGATAGCAAAAGATACCCGTTTTATTGATAAAAATTAATACATTATTATATTTGTGTCACTCATAGATTCCATTCCATAATGCTTTCTTTGGGATGTGGATAACCCCTCGCAGGTAGAAAGTTATCAAAATCATAGAGTGATGGTTAGTACTGAGTGTCAACTTGATTTGATTGAAGGATGCAAAGTATTGATTCTGGGTGTGTCTGTGAGGGAACTGCCAAAGGAGACTAACATTTGAGTCAGTGGGCTGGGAAAGGCAGACCCACCCTTAATCTGGGTGGGCACAATCTAATCAGCTGTCAGAGCAGCCAGTATATAAAGCATGCAGAAAAACATGAAAAGGCTAGACTGACCTACATCTTTCTCCCATGCTGGATGCTTCCTGCCCTCGAACATCAGACTCCAAGTTCTTCAGTTTTGGGACTCAGACTGGTTCTCCTTGCTCCTCAGCTCTCAGCTTGCAGATGGTCTATTGTGGGACCTTGTGATCATGTGAGCAACTACTTACTAAACTCGTATATATATA